CGTCTGAGTTACAATGTATGTGATCAGGCTATCACAAGTGACGGCAATTGGGTGGCTCTAGTCGTCGCATGCTTGCACTGCGTTCTAAGTTTCGGGGCCACAAGTATATCATCGTCACCTAAATTTAGTGGCGGACAGATTCATTCCCGTCTGGCTCAGTACTTAGCCTACCCTTTTAGGGCTTTATTTTGTTCGCTAATCATTGCCGTCCCTTATCATGGCTTCCCATGCACAACGATTCGAGGGTAAACCATTGAGGATTCCAGTTCACTGCTTGAAAACCTAAGTGCTCAGTGTCAACTCATGCTATAGCAATCGAAGTCTTCGGTTCATCACAAGGAAATGTAAAGTTTCAGTACTGCCCATTTTTGTATCAGCTAGCTTTATTGTACTTGGAGGGGTGATCTCATCAAACTAATCGGTTGGTTTAGTTTAAGGGGGCTGTTTCACATTTAATCAACTTCCGATTCAGTTTAAATCAAAGAGTATAAGAGATTGGGCCTAAAAGAGCTTCATGGATGTCTTATTTGGCTGAAGTGTAAAATGTTAAACAAATTCGTTAGCCTAAAGAATGCTCTTTTGTAGTGCAGAGTGTTAAGAAAATCATTAGAATAAGGTTAAGTAACTGCGGATCTACGGATTTCCATTTCAACCAAACTACTGAGAGATCTGTTCTGTCCTGCCATTAACGTTTATCGTGATTATAGCAAAAGATTTCTTTTTTCGAATGAAGGATTGGCGCAAACATTCTTTTTTTCGTCGAGGCAGAAATTGTGTCTAATCCCATGCGAATTAAAGACTTAAATGCTTGTTAGTTTTGTTTTTCTAGGGTATTTAGAAGTTGATCTTTGAATCTTAATATCATCATTATGGAACAACACAGAACAATGATCACGTTGGAATTTTCTGCTGAGAGGTTTGTGACAGTTAGCCATGAAACCAACAACTGTTCGTTAGTTTAAGAGAATATAACTGTATTCGATTTGAGGAAAAAAGCAATTGTTAGAACTGAGATAGAACTATATTGATTTGGTCAACATAGCGCAATCGTATCCAACATTTGTAATATTTAAACTTATACGGGTAGAAATATCAAGATTCAGAATCACTCGAAAAATGTTAGTCTATCTTTGAATTCATACGCGATTATTTGGGTCCAGACTTACTTCCGTAGAGTCGTTTCTCACGTGACTGAGGGGGTAAGCTCGATGACCTAACGGCTGACAATGCTATACATTTTTTATATCATTTTGCCTCACTCGTTCGACTCCTAGACGTCACCTTTTGGTTCTAGGTACATTCCAAGGGGTTTGCTCGGCTGTGAGAGAGTGAAGAAAGAGAGAAAACATTTACTAATGCTGGCCTACAATAAGTAGTACCAATGAGCGATTGATGCGTAATAAAACCGGCCATGATTTGATATTCAGTCGGTCAGTCAATCAGTCAGTCAGTTATCAGGCAAGCAATTGCTTTGTTCCACCATCAGCAGAAGCTTTATAACTGAGGTAACAAAACAGTGAGCTGAGAACGAGCAACCAGTAACTCCGCTGGGCTTACTGTTCATTGTAAATGCTTCCAAATTGAGAGGGAAACGTGACCAGGTACAGGATTTATGTGCATAACTTAGTGAAAATGAGTGCCCGGATTCGAAACGGACGCTTGACTTTGAGGTGCATTCATTTAAATTAGTTTGCAAAGGTTATGCAAGGTCGGCTAAAATTCTCTAGAAAACGTTGGACAATGACTATTTCAATAGCTCAGATGCGAGATAGACCACTGCATAAAGAATTCAGGGTTTCTACGAGTCAGTTTGAAGCTTTTTACAAGTAGACCAGGGAATATTACTAGGGAAGCAAATAGCAGGTGGGCTAGAATGGAAGCATATACAAACGATTAGACCAAATAAAGAGACAAATGATGATTTATTGCGAAAAAAATAAAAGGAAAGCCTTCGCAATTTAATGAAAACAAATGACGTGCTTAGATAAAGTGAGGTCCTGGTTTAAGATGACAAGTATATCAGAATAATCAGTTTGTTGTATCCGATAATCCTCTGTAATGAAGGCAACGATATCTGTTCACTCAAAAGGGTTCATATACGGGTTAAAATTCACAGATCATTAGGTAATTTGTGAGATTCCCTTCATTTTTGGAAGAATAGAGTAATCAGGATAGGGTAGTTCATCAACGAAATAATCAGCATACTTTATATTCAGAAAATTTAAAAAGTCGGGTAATTTGGACATTTGAGGAAATTAGAAAGGTGATCATAAATCGCCTTATAGATCATCAGCAGATGAGAGTAGCGTTGATTCACAAACTGGTTGCGGGTCAGTAAATCTCATATCAGTAATTGTGTATAGATGGAGCTTTTCAGATTAGTTCGTTTACACAATGGGACGTAGTTTTGACATGCCTATCTAAAGAAATGGTGTGACAATAGCTGTCCGCCAGCATATTGCGAGTTATTCTTTCAGCTACTCTCTGAATAGATCCGAAAACAGGCAAGACAGAGTCAAAGCTCATTTCTTTAACGTTGTCAGTTGAGGATTATCAGATGTACATCCGTTGTTGTTGAGTTTTAATAGATAGTTCATTAAATGTAAGGGGTTGGGAGAAATGTTTATAAGCAGCCACTCATCAAATGGATTAGGGTCTTAGTTGCTGAAATCAAGATAGAGCCGTCAAATGTCCACAAGTGGAGTTCGTGCTCTAACAGAGAGCACTTTTTGTTTCTTGATTGCTTTCGAAGTTTGGTAATAGTTCCTGTCGGTCAGCAGAATCTGAGCGTACATCGCACTGAGTTGCTTGACCTACCTTTTGCTGTTTGTGATGAGAGTTCTGGCTGATGACCGTTCATGTACCCTGTACCCTAGCCTATCGAAGCCTTGGTTGGTTCACCGCTCCAAATCCCGGTGCCTAGGTTACCGGTTACCGGAGCCGATAGGTGACCGGTTGGATACACAAAAGGGTTGATATTAATTAAAGCAGGTTTCGCTGAGAGTTAGCTCTTTTTAGGAGGTCCACAATGTTTAACAGTTTTATCTACGTTGAAAATTCGCATCAAAGTGCTTAAACTAGCTACAAGCAAACTACGGAATTTTTGAGATTTTACTCCACGGAATTTCTAAAATCGTCAGAGATGCATGGCGGGAAAGTGTAAACAAGGATAATAAAAGCTGGTTCACAACGGAGCAGGGAAGCACATGTGGATGTTAGAACATATAATCAAAGTCTTGGCGAACCGGAACCAGTGCTTCCTAATGTACCTAATGCATGTGGCGGGAAGGCTGGAAGAAGCTCCGCGACGGTCAGATCATGACATGGCGTAGGGTTATGAAAAAGCGGGCTTCAGTTTTGGCTTCGATTGGTGCTCGAATGTTCGAGAGTAT